AAGACAAAATAAATTTATTATTTTCATTTTATGTGAGTGCATTCTTTGCAAGTATGTAACTGCACCCATGTCATGCAATGCCCATAGAGGTCAGATGAGGGCGTTGGATCCCCTGGAATCAGAGTTAGACGGTTGTTAGCTGCCATGCCCTCTGCAAGAGCAGCCAATGCTCTTAACCGCTGAGCCATCTCTCCAGCCCCTACCACCTTTTTTTATCCATCTCCTTTGCATATCCGATAAAATGTCATATCCCACACCATCTTCAGTAACAGTCTCTCTTGCTATATTTGCCCCCGTCATCATAATGACCTTTATGTACACAAAGTCTCCAAAGCTTGTTTTCATCTTTCCCTTCAATTTCACTTGTCCAGAGAATGGATGATTCTTGTTTGGTTTGGGTTTTGGAAACAAGGTCTCACTTTGTAGCCCAGGCTGGCCCCAAACTCAAGATCTTCCTGCAAACTAGGATCACAGGTGAAAGTCACAATGCCTTCTAAGAATGCTTCTTTGAGCAAGTTCTCTCTGAAGCAATCTCCTAGTCCTTAGGACAGATCATTTCTTCTCTGTTGCTCCTCTTTACTTAAGGCACATACATACCTAACATGAAGTACTCTACCCTCTTACAAGACCTACTAACTCCTACCCTTGCATCTGATTACCTAACATTTTGAATAAATCTGGAAAGACCAATGCAACAGTATAATAAAGATCTGCAAGATAAGCGCTTAAATGATAAAGAATTTGTCTGCCTCTCCTGTCTTTGCACAGCCAATTGTTGCTGAAGATCAGACAGCAGCCCTGATGGCCCATCTCTTTGAAATGGGATTCTGTGACAGACAGCTGAACCTGAGGCTGCTGAAGAAACACAATTACAATATCCTGCAGGTTGTGACAGAACTCCTTCAAATCAGCAACAATGACTGGTACAGCCACCGCTATTGAGAAGTGATCTCATATTAAATAACTGCCTGCTGCTCAGAGATGATCTTTATCCTGTCATTGAGGTGTGGGGTAGAAACCCTTGCTTGTTTGCTTTTAATCTGATGAATCTATATAGAGTATCATTGAATTGTCAAAACAATACCTGTTACAGTATTTTTTGAAGCAAATCAAAGACCAGAACTTCAAATTTTTCACTTCAGAAATCGGTTGAGTAGTAGGAAGACAGTTTTTCACCTGATTTGGACAAAATTCCTTTCTTCACTTTAGAACATTGAAGACTAACTTGAACTTTCTGTAGAACCCTTTTTCTTTCTCTTGTATTCAAGCCAACTATTTTTCCTTAGGTTCATATGGATATTTTTAATGGGATACCTGTTAAATGTTAGGTTTTTTGTTTGTTTTTTAAGAAATTAACCTTGAAAGTTTTCAAGAATTAATTCTCCTAATTTCTATAGCCAACCCAAGCTTGGTAGCTGTGTGACATTGAAAAGTCAGGAGCACAGGAGAGAAGCTGCTATTCTTTCTCAAGGACAAGGTCACTTCCCTCCAAGACTTGGTAAAGAGAGCACTTCACCTTCAGAAGACCCCAGTGGTCAGCTGAAATCCACCTCACAGGAATCTCAAACAAAAGAAAATGTGTGCAAGTTCACCCCCAGCACCTACTGAGCAGTGTCTATTGAAGTAACTTTGCATAAAGTTTTATTTAAGGAAAAATCCTAGGTAGTTGGAAATATTTTGGTAATCCTATAAAGAAGGAAAAAAAACACCTATTCCATTAAAGGGAAAGGTAAATTTAACAGTTGCCTTTTTTCTAAATGTCACAGCAGATCTTATTTACAGTAGAATGGGGCGAGTAGAAATGTGGAAACATTCATCTCGGTTAAGTTCAGGTGTGAGGGCCTGGTGCACAGGAAATGCTGCTGACTTCCTTCAGAGGTACCTAGTCCTAGAGCGCTGGAACAGAGTGGCTGCTTGTTCTGCAGGTCTTGGATGGGAACGTACTCGTTAAAGTTTCAGTTTAACCCTAGGGTAAGTGGGAATAAGCTTGCTTCCAGGGTCCTAGGTCTCATTCTGTTCATAGGGGGTAGTCTTGGAGACAAATGCTGAAGGAAGAAGTAACAAAAAACACTAAAGATTTTAAAATATTCATGAAAAGAGTTTCATAAAGGAAGATACTGAATCCCAGCCCAAAGAGGGACGATAGTTAAAATAGTATTATTCAACTTGGTTATTTATAATAAATACCGATTGTAATTAGTCATAATCTGTTTATTTACAGTCTTAACTCTTTGAATGCTACTAAATAAACCACAATTCAAACTGCAAGCCATCCAGTCTGTCATTTAAAACCCGCTAGAAGGCGGATCCACGGGGTGTGGGCAGCTGGGTTGGTTTGTGGTCGGCCCTGTCTTTACATGGGTCTTGTCCGGGTCGAGGTTGGCCCCTGAATCCAGGGGCGTCCGTTCCGTTGTACTTGTACATAGCCACTTGAATTGTGAAATGTTCTTTGAACCGCCTACCTGGACTAGTTGGTCTTGCGGAAGCAGCATATGCCCTCCTCCTAGAGGGAAGAGCCTGACGCTTCCACTCCGCGCCGCTGGGAGGAACCTAGGGCGGGGCTTCCTCCTGGCGAGTCCAGTGGTCCGGGTTTCCCTGTTAGCAGCCTGCGGGGTCGTTGCCACCGGGTGGGGCGCTCCAGGGACCCTCCTCCTTTCTCTTTCGGAGGTAAGGGCCAAAAGATCTTTGGGCTTCCTCCTCGCCCAACATACTGGCACCAAATTCGACTAACGGCCTTCCGGAGTACCTAGTGGGATTTAAAATTCCCTCAATGAAGTCCTACATTTTCCGTCTGCGTCCACCTGTTGGCCCTTGGCAGAGCCTCCGAGTAGGACGGAAAGTGGCTTGACCCTCTGGGGAGACAAGGGTCCCTGTTCCCCACTCTCCCAGGTCTCTCCTTTAGGGGGCCACCCCGCCCTAGAGGACCTTCTTCCCAAAGGCGAATTCCTGGAAACTCAACATCTTGCAGCTGAGAAGAGTCCAGGTGAGGTCCCTTCCCTTTGTTATAGCTGAGACGAGCCCAGGTGACGTCCCTTTATTATAGCCGAGACGAGCCCAGGTGACGTCCCTTTATTGCAGCCCGGGAAGAGCTGCCTCATTCTGCCACCACTCACTGGGGCTGTGGGGGAAAGTTCAGATTTAGCCTTTACTTCCCAATGAAGAACAGTCCCAGATGTGGTGTGAGCTTCCGAATACATTTCCGAAGGCAGTGAAGAACAGATTTAGATTCCGTCCCAGTCCTGTTTAAGCCAGGTTATTAGCCACAACTCTGACCTGTAGTGTTCTTTTTCATTTAAAAAAGCCCTTGCCTTCTGGTTAAGCCAGCACCACCCAGACTCAGGAATGGAAGCCTTTCTTCTACACAGGCAGACTTCAGACCTTGCAGTGCTGGGATTACCATGGAGTTATCACCTGATTAGGGAGGACAAAGGGACCCTGAGATTGTGGTGCTTCCTCCCTTTGAAGGGAATGACAGCTCAGCGGCTTTTCCTAGAAAAAAATATTCTACATTCATTTATGGAAGTCTTTTAAAGTGAAAATAGCTTCTGCTTTCTTTGGTTTTCTCTAAATTGGAAAAAAAGAGAATTGAAACATTTTTGATTCACAAGTTCCAAGTCACCCCACTCAACCTTTCTTAGCCTTCAACTTGCTGAGATAGCGGAAGGGCTTCTTGCCAATTTTGAGAACTTAAAACCAGAATTCTGGCTGGTGTCAATGCTACCAGGCTAATAGCACTGAACTTTGCTTTTTTCTCATTAGTGAAAAGTCCCAGTGGAAAGATGGGTAAGGCATTCTCCCAGTTCCGCTCTCAGCAGGATGAAGACAAATCGATCCTACAGGCCAACCCAGCCATTGCCAGCAACACTGCCAACTATTTGAGCACTGGTAGCCTCAAGCCATCATGGTCTGTGCCCTATGAAAGGGCAGCTGATGCCAGCTTTGTGACTTGTCCTACCTGCCAAGGCAATGGGGAAATCCCCCAAGGTGAGTGGCCCAAGACTCTAGAAATAGCCTAGACTCCAGGGAGCCCTTTTGGCTGACTGGACCCAGACCTGCCCCTCTGTATCTAATGCAGTAGGTAGACCAGACCAGTACATGCTCTCTCAGTCTCAAGACTGGCCAGAGCAAAACAACACCATCTTGCCTTAGTTGTGTCCACCAGCCCCTGGAGGAAGGTTTCTAGTCACTCTGTTTCCCCAAATAATACTCTGTGTCTTAGAATTCAGGAAGTTAAAAATTACCTCCAGGGGCTTGAAAGATGACTCAACATTAAAGAGCACTGGCTGCTCTCACAGAGAACTTGGGTTCAATTCACAGCACCCACATGGTGGCTAACAATTGTCCTTAGCTCCAGTTCCAAGGGATCCAACACTCTTTTCTGACAACCTCAGGCATTGCACAGCAGAGGTGCACTTACATGCATGCAGGCAATGTGTTCATGCACATAAAATTAATAAGCTGGGCACGGTGGCTCATGCCTTTAATCCCAGCACTCAGGAGGCAGAGGTAGGCTGATCTCCCTGAGTTCAAGGCCAGCCTGGTCTACGTAGTGAGTTCTAGGCCAGCTGAGGCTACAGGGA